GGTGAATATGAGGATGATGGCAAAAGTGATTACGAAAAACGTCATTTAATACCCAATGTTAAAAGAGGAGAAACAGATGTTGATGAGGGCGTTGAATACGAAAAACGTCATTTAATACCCAATGTTAAAAGAGGAGAAGATGGCAATGACGAAGAAGATTACGAAAAGCGATCCAATGTTAAAAGAGAAGCTATGTTAAATCGGTGGTGGTGGCGCCGTCGGCATCATCACTGGCCTTATCGATTCTATTGGAAAAAGCGTGATTTATTACCCAAAGATAAAAGAGGAGAAGGTGATGGTGAATATGAGGATGATGGCAAAAGTGATTACGAAAAACGTCATTTAATACCCAATGTTAAAAGAGGAGAAACAGAATATGAGGGCGATGGCGATGGTGATAACGAAAAACGTCATTTAATATCAAATGTTAAAAGAGGTCATAATGGTTTCGGTCATCATGGTTTTGGTCATCATCGTTTTGGTCATCATCATGGTTTTGGTCATCATCGTTTTGGTCATCATCATGGTTTTGGTCATCGTGGTTATGGATGGCCATTATGGGATTTTGATTTTGATTTGGATGATTTGCCTTTTTATAAAAAGCGTGATTTAATGCCCGAAGTCAAAGAATACGAAAAGCGTCATTTAATACCCAATGTTAAAAGAGGAGAAGATGGCGATGGTGATGGTGAATATGAGGATGATGGCAAAGAAAAACGTCATTTAATACCCAATGTTAAAAGAGGAGAAGATGGCGATGATGATGGTGAATATGAGGATGATGGCAAAGAAAAACGTCATTTAATACCCAATGTTAAAAGAGGAGAAGCAGATGATGGTGAATATGATGGCGATGGCGAAGGTGATCACAAAAAACGTCATTTAATATCAAATGTTAAAAGAGAACCTAGTCGTTATTATCCATATTTTGATCTGGATTTTGATTATGATTGGGATCCTTATTTTAAAAAGCGTGATTTAATACCCGAAGTCAAAGAATACGAAAAGCGTCATTTAATACCCAATGTTAAAAGAGGAGATGACGATGGTGGTGAATATGGCGATGATGGCGATCAATAATACGAAGCTAAAAGAGAAGCGCAAGGTGAAGAAGAATACGAAGCTAAAAGAGAAGCGCAAGGTGAAGAAGAATACGAAGCTAAAAGAGAAGCACAAGATACATAAAAGTTTAATCAAATATCTCCTCTTTGCGTTATTTTTTGACATTGATTCCTTCTATAGAAAACTTAATGTTGTTTGTTTGTTTTTACAAATTTATATCCTAGAAATTTGTAGTTCGATGTATTTTGTTAAAACTAAAAAAATTTTTTTTTTTTTGCGTTCAATAAAATTTAATCGAATTTAGACCTTTTATAAAAGATAATTGTTTTTTTTTTTCAAGTTTTATAAATTCTCCTCTAATGAATAAAAGAAGTTAAAATAAATTAGTATAGTACTTTCATATAGCAGTTTAAAATTTGCCTTGGATATAAGTTTCCAGTCGTGGTCTTTATTTTGTGTCCATTTATGTCCATCAGTAAAATAATAATTATAATAATAATATGAAGCCTTAAAGTACATAAATTGAATTTTTAGTTGAAATAGGTTCATTTTACAGCATACACTAACATTGGTGTTTTTTTCAATCATTACTTTCACTTTCTAAACTAATAATGTTAAGTTGAGAATTGGAAGAATCAATTATATTAACGTGTTTCATATAACTTGAGTAAAATATATCATCAACGATTGAATTGAAATTTTTTAACAATTACTGTGAATATTCTATATTAGTCACTAACTATATGACTTTTGAGAAAATTATTCGTTAAGTTTAAAATGTTCTCAAGTAACTCGCACAAAGCGATTTGAATCTTGCGATCAAAGACGTTCTCAAGCGCCTTAATCGATGGGTCAAAAAGTGTCGGATTAAGTTTTTCTTATAGGAAATATTTTAAGCGGGTCAATTGTGTTTATCATTATAATGAATATTTAAATAATATTCACAGCTTGAAAAATTTTATTACGTAATTCAAAAATTTTTTTATTAGTAAAAAAATATTGTGTGTCATATCATTTACAAACATTTTACAACAAACTATCTTTTTTTGTTAATCCCTGGCTTGGCAAATTTTGCAATTAATCGAGTATTCAAAGAGATCGCTCAAAGTAACTGTCATGATCCTTATTCTCGACGTCAACGAATTTCCTTATACTAAAAGTTTTCATATGAAAAGAATTACCATTCCTTAGTCTTTACTCATATGACAACAAATTCAACTATTCCGTCAATAATTCTTCATTTGGTACAACAACCCAATAGCATTCGTTACTTGTTGGACGACTTTCTTATTTCCTTTATTAATATTTTTTTTTTTTACAACGAATAATAAGAACCCTCAATTATCAATTACAATCTTTTATTTTGATTGAACACCGTTACGATCACTAGTAAATCACATCGAAGATAATGTTTAAGAAAATTTCAATTAAGGGTGTTCTCACTCAATATATCGGAGGTAAAATTTTAATTAGTCGGAAATTGAATAAATTAACCAAGAGAACTGCCATTTCGATGAATCGATCAGCGAGTTACAACCCATTTTTTCTCTTCAAAAATTTACCATTGATAAAGGTCGCTCAAGCATTACTTTTACATTTTTATATAATAAACAATGATATTAATCAATCTAAAGAATTAAATAAAAAACAGCTACTTTATTTTTAATGCCCGAAGCTTTTAAAGCACGTAATAAACAACCCATCTTTTAACCTTTAATCAAACTATATATTCTATTTATTTCCCCGTTCCCGGGGAATAAATTAGTTATCCTGTGTTCCATATGACGACATGACAGTGATTTGTGTTATTAATCATTTCTTTTATCACATCATGAAAGCTTAATTTATGACAAATCGCTGGCTAAAAAAAAAAATATATATATATATATATATATATATATATATAAAATAAATATATTATACTTTTTATTACGTAATAGAAAGTCTAATTGATATTTATATAAATAAAAATTTTTTTTTATTGATTTATTTTTTGCCGTTCTATTCATTTTCTCTCTTTTGCTTGATTCATTTTTCCTTTTCATTTGACTCACTTTCTCTCTTTTGTTCAATTTCTTTCACTTTTCTTGCCATAAACTAAAATGGATTTATCAAATCATCAGGATTTTACAACGGCTGCACAGATATATGAAAAAATAATGAGATTAATGCTTCCTTTGATTCTGATATGTCTCTTGATGATATTGACAATAATTATGATACCTTTGAGATGGTTAACATTGAAAAAAGCAAAACCAAGGATAGTAATAAGGTTTTATTTTATTATTGGACTCTTGAATAAATAGTATTTAGTATCTTTTTAACATTTTTATTTTTTTATTTTTTTTTTAGTCTCATTTTCAAGCACCTTCACAAAAAGATATTAGTCATACAATAGATTACTCTAAAGTGGCAAATACAAAACACATACCCAAACTTGAGTAAATGCAATTAATGAATACTTTGTGGATTTGAATCTTTCTGGTGATATAACACAAGTTGAAGGTTATACAAAATTAGAAAATATTCTTATAGAATTTTTTGTTGTTTTAAAAAGAAAAGATGGACAATCTTATTCACCTACTTCAATTCATAATTGTTACTGTGAAATCACCCAACATCTTTTGATTAATTCTTGCCAGGACCCGAAACCAAACATATTTGATAATAACTAGGTTCCTTATTTGTATGCAACAATTGATAGGAAAATCAAGTTAGTACAAAATTCAAATCCTAGACAAACCAATAAAAGTGATTCACTTACCCATGATGAAATCATCCAAATATTGAATCATGAGAGTCTTTTAGAAGACACACCAATTGCAATTACACACAGAGTGTTTTTTTGGTTGTGTCTCTTATGTAGTTTACATGATGAAGATGCATAATCATATAAAAGAAAGTGATCATAACAGCCTTCAAGTCATTATACCTCATGAAAAGAACTATGCAGGTGGTTTGAAAAATCTCAATAATTCAGATCAGGTATGTTGAATACTATCTGATACACAATACAGGTTTACTCCTGTTTGTAATATTTCATATTACAAATTTCACCATGGGAGTCATGTTACAACTGAGGATTTTTTTTAAAAAATTGCTTCTAAAAAAGATATTTATTTACTTTTTTTTTTTTTTAATTTTAAGGTGAGACCTTGCTCATATCTTTATTGAGTAATTTATATAAGTAATTACATAGTATTTTATGAAGAACTTAATTTGTATAATAA